CCTATATTAAGAAAAAAATGCCCTGATGGATTTCTGTTGACATCATTTATTTCCGAAAGATTTGGTAGAATTAATCAAATCTATGTTTCATTAATGTCTATGGCATATATGTTTTGTTATATGATCAGTGAATTATCAGCTATTGATGGTATATTGAATCTTTTGACGGGATATGATTTTTTTCATGTTCCTATAATTCTTATTACTATTACAACTACTCTCTATACTGGTAAATTTTCATGATATTTAAATTAAATATTATTATTTAAAACTATTTGTTTAAATTTAAATTGATTTTTTTTTTAAAAAAAAAAAAAAATTAGCATACGGTGGTTTTCGTTCCTCATTATTAACTGATAAAGTACAAGGTTGGGCTATTACCCTTCTTTTAATAATTTCGGCAATAGGATTTGGTGTTACAGTGAAACTTGATCCTGGAGTAGTTAATTCTAGTCCACTATTACAATCAAATAAATTGGGATGGCAATTATTATATATTATGCCTGTTGCTATTACATTTGCCAACTTATTCCATCAGGTATTTTATTATCTCATACTCATAAAATAATAATAATATTTTTTTTAACTTTTTTTTATTATGATTAAATGATTTATAGGGTTATTGGCAACGAGCTTTTTCTTCTAAAAATGATCATGAATTAGTTCATTCAGCAATTTATGGAAGTCTTTTACTTTTTCCCACATTATTTTTAATTGGGTTTACTGGAATTATTGCAGCTTGGGCTGGTACTTGGCCAGGACCTGATCCTGAAAATCCAGTAGAACCTTATATGTCATTCTTTTCACTTTATACATTATTACCTGATTGGGTTAAAGGATTTGTTATAGTATTGGCAGTTAGTTTAAGTTGTTCGGCTTATGATACTTTACAAAGTGCTATGGTATCTACTATGTCAAATGATTTATTTAACAATAAACTTCCTTTAATGGTTATTCGTTGCCTGACTTTACTTTTCAACATTCCTGCTGGTTTGTATAAAATTTTTTTTATATTTACTGTATAAATACGATATGAATTATTAATTAAAATAATTTGATTTTTTTTATATAGTAATCCTTGGTTCCAGAAATCTTGATGTTCTTGTTGTATTTTTAGTTGGTGATCTTATAGCAGCTTCTATAATGCCCTCAATCCTTCTTGGTCTTGTAGAGTCATTC